CGCGCGTGAGCCTGACCTTGGTGAAGTCTTGATCAGGTCCGCCGCCCGCACGCCGTTCTGCACGTTAAAGCTGATGTCCACCCTTCACTTCCGTGAAAGAATCTGTTAACTTGATGATAGGCACCTGCAGGGGAGAAAGGGCGCGTTAAATCGCTTTACCCGAACCAGGGGCAAGATCGGGGCACAGGGTGAATGGCGTGAGGCCCCACCCTCTCGGGACAACAAACAGGAGGTCCTGAGGCCTGCGCTCCCCGCCAGCCTGCCTTCCAGAAACTTCCCTCTGCACAGCTGGCGCTTCCCCTCACACCGCTCCTACGGCTGAGTTGGGACACCCAGTGACAGAACCCTTCCTGACACCACGTCTGGGAAACAGCTTCCTATCGCTGACCGCCAAGCAGTCAGGGGGGCCAAGAGGCTAGTCACACACAGGCCCCTGCATCACGGTCAGTGTGGCCAGGAGCCCGAACAACCCAGCAGGAGGAGTGAAACGCAAGAATCATCCCCAAATGGAAAATGACGACGATTTCTACGAGACGTGTGGGATTCTTCATAAGAACAAGAAAAGCTCCGTGTGCACCACATGCGAGAAAACGCGGGCGGCACCCCGCAGTCCCAGCCGCCCGCCGCCAGGCTTCCCCGGGGACATCGCGTGCAGACGCCCGAGCCTATGAGGGCGCGGCGCGTCTGGGCTCCCACGGCAGCTCCCTGACAGCCAGGCCAGGCCGGTGAACGCCAGTTACGGCCCGTGTCCCGGACACAGACTCGGACGGAGCGGAGCAGCCCCGGCTGGGCCGCTGAGAACGCCCGACAGACCCTGGGCTCTGCTCTCCACTGAACAAATCCCTGCAGGACCCGCGGGCTAACCGGGTGCCCTTAGAAGGGAGGGTGTGACCGCAGGAGGCCATCTGTGTCACACACTGACAGAGAGAAGGCGCCGAGTGCCGGGCCCTCCCGACCGACCCCACCGGGCAGGCTGGGCGTGAGGGCGGCGGGCGAGGGGCCGGGGGACTCACGGTGGCTTTGTCCAGGACTTTCACCGAATCCTCGTCGGCCACCTTGTGCTTCCGGAGAGCTTCCTCCAGGGTCCAGAGCGGGAGGTTCTCCCACTTCCCGAACACCACCAGGTCGATGTCACTGGGCAGAGAGAGGGGGGGCCGTTCCCCTGAGCGCGAGGCCCGCCGGCCTGAGACCCTCACACCGCCCGCTCTCCCGGCCCGAGGAGGGCGCTGGTGACTTTAACAGCCGCCTCCTGAGTCATTTCACTCAGGCCAGGCCCCGGGGACAGGCGACTGTGAAAGCAGAACCTCAGAAAGACCCCAACGGTTCCTGTTCGTCCGGCTCTGGGGCTAGAATCTGAAGACTCTGGCTGAGAGCTGCGCGCCAGTGAGAGCGAGACAAGGTGCCGCCACCGTGTAAACGAGGAGGAGACACCCGCACGCGCCCTCTCCCACGCTCGGCCCGACCGCTGTCCGGAAGGAGATGCCAGGACTGCCCAGCGCCCCTCCCGGGACAGAGGCCGTGCAGCCCTTCTCTGCGGTTATTTCTGTGCCCTTTCACCTCGGGATGATGTGAAGGCACCACCCACTCACTGTTAGGAAGAGCGATGGGGTTCCGCGGGGCCCACACCGCGACAGGCACAAGTGTTAGTGAACCCGAGTGGTCGCTTACGGCCCTGGCTGGGGGGGGACCCACCCACTGGGTCAGGTGCTGAACGCGGGGTCACGGTGCAGCTCCCAGTGAAACGGCCCCCAGTTCACGCAGGTGCTTCGCCCAAAGGCCCCCCTGGCGTGTGAGTGGTTAGGGGACGGGCTGAGGTCTGGGGGGCCAGCGATAGCCCATTGCTGGGCTGTGGGCAGGCGAGCAGAACCTTCCCCACCGCACAGAGGACCTGAGATGTGCCCGGACGGGCGCCCCGTCCACCCACCACGACGATGCAGGCGGGACCTGTGCGCCTGCTGACAGCGGTCGGCGTGACATCCACCCCCGGGGACCCACATCGCAAACAGGAATGTGAATGTCCGCTTCACCATCCGCTTTATTTCTACGCTTACAATCCAACAGGCCAAACATGCACCCGAGGGCCAGGCCCACCCCGAAGGCGCCGTGCACTCACCTGGTGGGGAGGTACAGGCCCGTTTTGAAGCTCCCAAATATCTGGACCTGAAACAGAAACGACAGTGGGTTCCATGCCATCAGCTGAGAGCCACCAGCCACGGAGAAAG